ATAAAACCTAACCATTAAACTGATTTCACTAGATCATGGTTCATGCTTCTTGGTCGTAAAAAGTTTGTTTTATCCAATTTTTGTCATTCACTCTGCCAATTTTTGAACTTTCAGTGATTTTTTGTTCGCTTTTGCTTGTCTTGCCCTGAAGTAATGTGCGTGCCATTCAAATTTTAATCCATACGCCTTTGAGATCATTCTGTCACAATGCACAGTTTCGAGCAAAAGCTGGAATTCGGAGCGGCACTGCATCTAAGATTATTTTCTAATGTAAAGAACACTCGCGAGTTAAGGTCAAGAGTCATGTCTGGTCAGTTACCTTGTGCTCTAATCAAACCAAAACTCTTAGTTGACCCATTCCAATTAGTCATCGCTGCCAACAAAGCTGTCGTCAGACAGAATGTATCGTCGCTCGTCACGAAGTCTATTTATACGGAAATACTATTCAATTTGTCACCCAGCAAAAATATAACTCAGGGTCTTACTAAATTTGGTGTCAGTGATGATGACACTGATATTTTTGTACTCGTTATTCCAAACAGTGACGAAGAGTTGCAGGAAGTGCTCAGACAAGTGGATGGTGAAATGCGTCCTATAGAAGATGCAAAGGAAATGCTGAGCATCAATGAAGTCATAAAAACTTATAGTATTCATAATGATGAGTTAGCGATTTCAAATCTATTGGACTCTGTTGTCACAAGGATAGCAGCCAAGGATTGTTTATGAGGTAATTTTTGTGCATCTTTGTTAAATTCTGTAGTGTTAGGTACCGAGTTTATAATTGAAGGGCAAGTTCCAGTGGGTTTTAAATGCACTTACCTGATTGCATCACCCTTTAAACCCCACGGTCTCCATCATCAAATGCCAAAGTTGAAGACTAACTCTTTTGTGGTGCTTTTTCTTCAAAAATAAACTAAAAATGTCTGGTCAATGATTTGATGTCAGATTTTCTTCAAGCATATTATCTGGCCGGAGTTGAGTTGAAACCTCGGACCGAGCAGGTCATGTGTCACAGTGCGGCTCCCTTATCAGATTGTGATTGATAAAGTGGTTCAAGCATTTACAGAGTGCTTCTAACAGTAGTGCCCCTTTTCACAATGTCTACATCCTCGGATGTTGGCGATTTTGAGGAGGATCCTAGCACTTACGTGCACGTAGGATACCTGAGATGCGAACATCACAGAAGCTACGTCTCATGTGATAAATGTATACAAACAAAACGCGATAACTCCTGTAAACTTAAATGTTGCCATCAAATTCGAGCATTAGCCTGCGAAAAATGCTCAGAAGGATTAATCGTCGCAGATACGAAAAATCATAAAGTTGTTCCTTATGTGGTATTTCTTAGAGAAAATAGACTCAATGACTTTAAAAATTTTCTCAAGTTTAACAACCGTGAATGGTTCGACAAGATCTCGGAAGAAGAGGAAAGAGAAACTGACGATTCAAGACAACCAGACAAATCTCCCAAATCAACCGATAGTGAACCAATTGAAGACAACAAAGAAGACGACCCTATAGAAGTCTCTACCAATTCTAAGGAATCAGCAAACCTAAGTGATCTAAATGACTCATGTGTTTCAAGTGATTCTAGTGATTATAGTGAATCTCGTCTTAGTTCCTTCCCTAAACTGATATGGGTCAAAAAAACAGCCAGATGTTGTCACGCTGAAGTAACTAACAAATGTAGAAAATGCATTGCATCTTGGAATAAGAATGAATCTCTAGACTCAATTATCTGCTGTCACAATGAATCGGCCTATACCTGTAGGGTCTGCTACAGTTTATACGAAGTTAAAGGGACAAAACTCACACTTTTTGAAGCTATGTGCAAACATAAAGGCTTAAAACCTCACCAGATAAATTTTGGTTTTCCAGAAATTTACGTAGACCTCCTATCAAAAAATCGTCTTCCTCTACAGGAAGAAGAACTAAAGTCACCCTCCTTCCTTAAAAACTTCCCTCAACTTTCAGATAAGACAGAACCTAAGAAAAGAAAAATGAATGAACCTAAAAAAGATTTAACTAAAATTAATCCCCCAATAACGACAAACTCTGAAAAAAATAAAATAGATACATCATCACAAGGCCCATCAAAAAGCGTATATGAAAATAAGAAGAAATTAGACCCAAATAGCTTTGCCAGGATTAAAATGAAAGATAAATTTTTATGTCAACATAATAAGACGATGACATTGTGTAATTACTGTTCAGCTACCAACTTAAAAGAACTAGAACTCAAAAGTAAATGTTTACACCGAATTATTCCTACGAAATGTAACCATTGTAGAGACAAAATTTATATCCTGAAGAAGGAAAAAGAAAGAACTAGATTGAAAAATATCAAAGAAGAAGACTATATTCCATATAAAATTTATGAAAAAATCTATCTTAGCAATGTTGTTAACAAAAAATTTACAAATAAAAATCAGGATAATAATAAAGACCATACTCAAGAAAATATCAAAGAACCGGAACCTAAACTAAGAAAAATCCAACCCGAACCCCAAATCAATAATGATAAAAGAAAATTTTCTAAATTAGATGATCCTAATACGGAACCTATGGAAATAGAGACTAATCAACCTGAAATTAATAACGAAGAAACAGTCGCTAACCTAAATATTCCACCTAAAGAACCCCTAAATAAACCACCACCAATTTTTATTATAAAAGAAAACCCAGAAGAAATTAGGAAAATCATCGATGGTTACGAAATAAAGAACTTTACTCTAAAAGTAGTATCAAACAAACAGATCAAAATCAATATGAAAAAAGAAGAGGATTTCAAATTTTTCTTGTTTAAATTAGGTGAATTAGAAGTGGAACACTATACATTTCAATCCTTTAATGGAAAAGTAGCTAGAAGAATCATCAGAGGCCTACCAGTAGATTTCGATATCAATGTCCTAAAATCTGAACTGGAAAAGTTTGAATTCCTAAAAATTAAAAACATTGCTCAACTACGAAATAAATTTACAAAAAACCCAATCCCTCTCTTTAAAATAGAATTTAAAAGTTATGAAAAAATATGGGAGAAACTAGAGAATATTAAAGTTATAAACAACTACGAGATTACTTTTGAGAGATTGGGAATCAAGCAGATAGAGATCCCTATCTGCGGGATCTGCCTCAACTACGGGCACACAAAGAATTATTGTAAATCGAAATTAGTTTGTATTATATGTAATGACTTTCACCACAGCAAAGTATGCCCTATTCCAGACTCAGCAACCCTAAAGAATGAAATATGGAGACCAACATGTCTCCATTGCAAGGAGGCTCATTTTACTACTTGGAGGGGCTGTAAAGTATATAAAAAGCTCAGAAACCAGAGGATTAAAAAATTTAATGAAATCAATGATGAATGTAAAAATATCGCCAAGGAAATGAAGGGACCCGCAGATATAGATATAAAACAAAATAATAATAATAGAAAAGATAATAATAAACCTAATAATAATGATGTTGATAATAATCAACTTTTCAAGGTGATTGAAGAGGTCAGTGATGATATTGGCATGATGCTTGGAGTACCTAAATGCGCGACGCTCCATATAGAAAACGGCGTTATAGTGCGGGAGGATGGTTTTGTGACCAATTCTGGTGACGTCATCAATAGCTTGACAATGGAGGATGCTTATAAATACCTTGGAATGTGGCAGAGCTCTTCCATCCAGAAGGTGAGAGTCAAAGAGCACCTGGTTAACACCTTCGTTGATCGGCTGAGTGCGATACTTAAGACCTCTCTAAACTCAAAACATACGACCAAGGCAATCAACACCTTCGCCATTCCTGCGTTAGCGTACTCATTTGGCGTTGTCCCATGGTCTGACACGGAGCTTGAGGGGCTTAATAGGAAAGTCAGAACCTTGCCCGTCCGGCAACGGCCAAAAATAACATTACCACAACGTTGCTGCAACGTTGCCGCAACATTATTTTTGGCAGTTACATTGTGACAACATTTCCGCATCTACTTCAGGCAACCACATGCCGGGCGGGTGATGACCAAGTGGAATAAGCATCACCCAAGAGCCGCGAAGGAGAGAATACACATCCCCCGCAAACAGGGGGGAAGAGGTATCCTTGATGTGAAGGAGGTCTGCCACAGCCAAGTCCGTAACCTGCGAAATTACTTCCTCAGTAGAAACGACAGCACTTTGCACGCTGCAGTAAATGCCATAGATAAATCCTACACGCCTTTGCGCCTCGCTTGTCACGATCTGAATGAAGAACAACCCTCAGACCCAGTTGCTGGCCAGTTGGAGGCATGNAAAAAAAAAAAAAAAAAAAAAAAAAAAAAACCTAACTATAATAATAGTAAAAATGATGAAATTAAAAAACTTAAAATAGAAATAAAAAACTTAGAAGCTAAAAGATTAGAAGAAATTTCCCATCTCAAAAAAGACATTATGTCTCTTAAAAAAGAGATTGTTGAAATAAAATTAATGTTGACTTCTCACTGATAACAGTGTCAAAATTTTTTCGATTCTCAAGTCCTTTTTAACTAAATTACTTGAAGCAGTTGCCCCTCGTGAATTTAATTTCACGACCTTCCGACTCAGAAATCTCAAGTAGGAGGTTGCAAATCCTCGTTATTATAAAGTAGATCCAGACATCAGATTTTTTCTCCCTTTGGGTTTTTATTTTGATGTAACAATTTGTCTCCAAACAATGTAGAACCATTTCAAAACTTCATCGAAGTCACAGTAGTCTCATTGAAAAAAATCAATTAACTCTTATCACCACTGATAAGTTGTTCCACTAATCTAATGTCCATTGACATATCGCCCGAAAGGACAGTAGTTTTTATCAGTATTTAATCGATGATTGAAAGCTGTATTATTAAGATAAGTTGCTGTATTTATTCTATGTCTTTCATATGTATAAATCGTTTGTAATTATCTTAATAAATAATAAAAAAAAAAAAAAAAAAAAAAAAAAAAAAAAAAAAAAAAAAAAAAAAAATATTATCTGGCCACCAAGAGATTCAAATACTTGGAAATGAACAGTTGCTTTAATCAGTTTTACCAAAAACTTAATCTTATAGGTATTGGAATCCATCACTTGCGCTTATCAAGATGAGGTAAATCCTATAAGATTCTACCCTCAATCTTAAAATTGCATCGGAGCTAGGGTAAGGAGTCTAGGTCATTCTCGCAAAATGGCCTCTTATTCAGCTTAAAAATTCAAGATTGCAAGAAACGAGAATCAGCAGTTATCACCACATAAGTGGTAGTAGGTAACAGAAACTAGAAGTGTCTTAATTTAATCACAATACAGTTAAACAGTACGGACCGCCCGCCACCAAGTGGCCATTACTTTGTCGTCTTAAAGGAATAGACAGGGGTTTGGGATAGCACGGTCTTCCATGACCACGAAGAGAGATTTTAAAGTGTCTATAAAAATCAGTGTCTTTTTAAGAACCAGTCATCACCAGAACATCAAACTCTACATGACGAGAAAGATCCGTCTTAGGGTTCAAAGCAAAGGAAAGTGGAAATCGCTCTTCAGGGCCACCCTAGGTAGTAATTTTACCAAATAGAAAAAGCATGAGGAGCATTTACCCCAGATAAAGATTGGAAATGGGTGCATATTCTGCAGTAAATATAGGTGCAACTAACCATCATCTTCATGATTAAAGTCTAATTTTTTGTTCATTTCTTAGTTGTGTTTGATAACTTCAATTTCAGTTATTTTAATGTTGCAATTTTAATTGAACTGTAATTTTGTTGGATCAGGTTCATCATACCAAAAGTATGCAACCAAAAATATCTCAAATTTGAAAATTTTAGCCTCAGCCTTTATGAATTTTAAATTGAATATTTTTCCACTTCTTTCAGGTTTTCAAATCTGTGCATGGGTCTCAAGAGCATTCCTGGTTGGAGCTGACAGGCCGAAGAAAAATTGATGAAGCCATTAAGTATTTATCAGGTATCAGCCTTTTCAAATAGTCATAGCACTAAGTAAGGCATTAAGCGGATAAGATGGAGACATCTTAATGATTCACCGTCGAATGAACCTATTTGAAGAGTGCCATGGACATGAGTGGCTTTTTTTTTAAAAAAAAAATTTGTTAAATCAGTCTTCATTTTGAGTATAACTTGTTACAGGTGAAACTTTGTAAAAATATTTAACACCAGAGCTCAATTTTTATCTTGTTACTGAAGTCATAAGTACAATCGGGTCACAAGTATCTGAGGACCCATCCAAGTACTACACAAGCTACCTTCTTAGGTACCTCCTTGGGAGAGAGGGCCTGAGCTTGCCTTACACGGGTTTACAAGGAAGAAAGGGGAAGTCAAACCCAGTCTTACAAAAGCCCTGAACTTGAAGAAAAAATAATATCTTCTGAAAAAGATAATTTTTTCAGCTATTAGACTCTCCATTATTTTTCTGAAAAATCAAGGGAGGGAACAGACCAGTTTTAGGTGATTCAAAGAGGGAGGTAAGGTGAAAGGTTGTCTTACGGGTGCATTACAAGATGGGAAGGAGGGGGAAAAAGTATCAAAATGCCTCATGTGATTATTTAAGTTCTTCTAAGGATCACAAAAATTTCACCCGAAACTCCTTTATCAGTGATAATATTTGATTGAGTTCTAACTACGTATTTGTATCACTTTTGGATATTGTCGGTGAACTCCAAAACATTGCATTTTGTTCTGCGACAGGAGTCTGACCGTTGATATGTTCCAACCTGTTACAAAATTACTCAGTCCTTAGGCTAGGCAATCACACCAATGGGTTGTCAGGGACAAATTGAACATTTGCACTTTGCACTGTTATATTGATCTTATTCCTCGGCGGAGAAACACGCTCTTTGTTCCACTTAAAGATTTTATATTTCAATGAATTAGTAGTTTGGAAACAGAAAAATCACACTTGCGATCTCCCGGTGTCAAAGGAGCTGCATTTATTGCATGCAATATACATTCAAATGATTCAATGCAAAGCTTTCTGCTAGGTTTTTTTTGGAAAGCAAAAAACCTTTTTTTTTTGTTTAAAAAAAAAAAATGACCTCTCCTTGTTGAGTCCTTGGCTTGTTTCTGTAAGTAGGGTCATCATCACAATCAGAATGGATTAGTAATTTAGAAATATTGCTTTATTCAATAATAAAATATACTATAAAATTTGAACTACAAAGTGCTCTATAAAACAATTCAGAAAATCAGTCTAACTTCAGTTTTAACATTAGATAACAAAATAAAGGATTTATCTGAACAACGATTAGCCAATCAGTGCTTCTCAAAAATAAAAAGAATATGGATGGAAATAGTGGACTGAGTGTAAAGCTTTTCTTGTTCAAACCAATTTGACAAGTAAAAAACTGAAAGGAACATTAATACCTAAAAATGGGCATTTCGAGATAGTCGATAAGTAATGAGGCAACTCTATGAATGGGGGCTAATATTTGTCTCCCCTCAGGAGATTTAAATTTTAACCAAATTCTTGAATTATTTAGCCGTTGACTACTATCGGTATCCTATATTTTCTGTATTGTATATTTTAATTTCAGTATGATAGACAAATATGAAATGTATTTGAGAGGAAAAGACTAGAGACATTAGTTACCCACGTGATTTGTACGTAAAGGGTACCTTGAATGAAAGAGTTAAGTGACATATATCATAAAATTTGAGATTCCAGTTATCATGTTGTAATTCATCACAGTGTGTACCTTACTTTTTTGGATGTACTTTTTTTCATGCACATAAACACACTTGTTCATGCGATGTATATTTTGAACCCATGCTTTTGCGTCTGGTCCTTCACAAAACATGGGATACTTTAAACTTTGAAGTTTTTGGGTTCCCTTAAGTTTTCGAAGCGACTCCTAGGGGAGAGGACCCATGCCAAGTCTAAAAGTGTATTTAATGGTAACGCACTGGAAATCCAACCAACAAGTACCTCGTCAAGTGTTTGAAAGGTGGAGATTTTCGGTTGACATTAACTCAAATATAAGCAGCATGCCTTCTAATTTTTTAAGTGTTTTTTCTATTCCTCATTTTACATAGTCACAAACCTAGAGGTAACCACTCTCGTCAGTTTTCGTAATCGTTGGGCTAAACCTAAAGATGGCTCAAGAAGAAGTAGTATAAGTGCATCACAGCTCTTTTCATGGCGAGTTGCTCAATTGTTCTGAAATATCCAGAGCCAAGAACTTTTAGGTAACAAAATGATGACTACAGGCATCTTTGCTTTGATTCATAAACTCTGGAACTGTAACTTTCCTTACAAGAGAATGTTTTGACTTCTCATAAGTCTTAGAATCTTTTCAAAGAATTCAAAGCAGCTTGAATCTTCATGCTGAGCCGACTTTCAAAATCGTAGTTTTTGTAACTGGATTGTAGCTCCTGGAGTTGAAATTTGCCCTCGGCTCTTGTCTGAAAATTATAAATATTTAAAAATCAGGATCAAAGGTGACAATTAAAAGGACGAAATTTTTGTTTCCTATGTTGATAATAGAAGGAGGCCCATAAGTTTTGAGCTCATCGTATGCAAAATTGGACGGATTTAAACAGAAAGGAACCAAGCCACATCGGGATCGAACCGAAAAAAAGAGCTTCAAAGTTTGGCTCCTGCATAAGACTCAATGTAAAAGATAAACTTTGAGTTCAATTTCTGCAAAATTTGCTCCAACAAAAACTTTGAATTTTTGGCGATAGATAGTAGAGCAGTGGTTGAGTTCAAAACCACTCATAACTCAATTTTTTACAAAATGTGGGTTGGTTCCTTTCTGCTTAACTCAGTCCAATTCATCAATGCTTGAATTCAACTAGAATAGGTATATGTTATCCTAACAATGCAATTTTAAGCGGAGATGCAACATCTTTCAATTTATGTAACTGTCAGATATAGGAGGGATGGTTGCATGTAGTAAATCTGGAAGAGAAATACAGGCTTGCAGATTGCATTTTCAGCTTAAGTAAGGTACCTAACTTATGTTTTTGTTTTGGAAGATGTATCATAGCGTTGAAAAAAGAGGCTCGACAAAGTTATCAGGTGCCAAGAGGTGTTTCAAATATGAACATTTTTCCTCAAAGTGTGCTCAAAGCTAATGTACTCGGTCAATAATTTTTCTCCAAGATTTTCCAAGAAATGTAAGAAAATGCAGTGCACTTTGTTGTAAATTTTGTGTCATTGTATCGCTGTAAATAATGAAGATAAAAGAAGACATTATAAAAATTGTTCCCTTAAATAGTATCAAAATAATGGTACAAATTCTACAAAGTAATTTTCACTTTTATTACCGATTCCTCCCTTAAAAGTATCATGCTGAGTTCATACAAGGCAAAGGCAGAGATGTGTGCATCGTCGGCAGTTTTTGGAAGACTCTGACGAAGAGTTAATACCTCTTTAAAGCTTTGCACTGCTTCGGAACTTTTACCACGGCTGTTTAGTGCTGCTCCAAGAACTAAAAGTCGAAGCCCTACCATAGGCTCCTGATCTCTCGATTCCGAGCAGTCTGAAATTTTATATTAAAAATGTTTAAATTATCAAGTGTACTTTAGTGCAATATAACTGATCAGAAAATGTTATATAATAGAGGCTGTTTTAGTTTAAAAATGTTTTGCAATCAATAGTAGAAAAATAAAGTTTATTTTAATTTTACTCATGAAAGCAGAAAATATGAGTGAAAGAGATTGAAATTAATAAGTTACATGAAAAAGCTTCAAATGGAAAACAGCTAGAGGACTCTATCCACCCTTCTCTGAAACAGTAGCAATTCGTCTTGGAGATCATTTTTTGGTAAGAAGATCGGACTAATCTTGTCTTTTAACATAAACTTAGCATTAGGTTAATAAAATCAATCAATTATCCTGAAAAGAATATCGTTGAAAGCTCTTGAAAAGATCTTTTTCTCGAAATTTTCTGGCAATTATTTTTACTTATTCTTAACTATTCTCAAAAAATGTTTAGAAGAATTTTTTTTTATTCGTTTTCCTCAAAAAAGAAAAAAAAGAAGAAGAAAAAAACGGAACCGTAAATTTTGAAATGTTGGAAGGGAATCACGTTTTTTTTAGTCTCAACCTTAAACCATAAAATCTTAAGGTACATAGTTACCTTCCACCTACCCTCTCATCAGCTGCACTTACCTTCAATAATTTTGCCTATAGTAGAGCATGGTGCCAGGGTGTTCCACAAGTACAGCATCTCATAGATCAGTAAATTATTGCAAAATCTATTTTTTGGTTCCATTTTATTGGATCTCTTCCATACAAACTCCTCAAGCTGCTCTTTTGATGAAGATGGACTGTGTGTGCTAGGGCGGTGGTTTCGCTTGATATCAGCCTGAATTTTTGAGGCTTTGTCGTGGAACCCGTCAGCACCTGCTGATACTGAAATAAATCGTCAATTTGTTAATTTATAGACACAACTTCAGTATATCGACACATTTAACGGTGCTGTTGCTCTGTTTTTTGCTTATACGAGGCTCATACACTCAAAATAAGAGTCATTGGTGTGTTGTTGCGTGGCTCCTTAAAATGTAAGCAACCCGTGGAATAGTTGACAACAACGTCAATGATTTAAGACTAATGAAAAGCTATGATTTTCCTTCATTTCAGCGTGATACCACATAATATACCTAGTTCGGAGTTCGAAGTTTCGAGAAGTATGCGAGAATGATGCCTATATACCCTCATAAACGTCAGTATTCTCAGACAAGTAGATAGCTAAGCTTTTCCTTCATTTTCGCGTGATACCACATCACATACCTACTCCGGATTATGGCCGGATCCACACCGGCCGCCGAGGTCACGGCCTAGGACGGAAAATGTCGGGGGGCTGCAAAAAATGTGCGAATCGGAAGACGAATACAACGCCACGAAAAGCACCGTGCCGCTGCGCTGGAAAGGCGACGCGGCAAAGCGGCGATTCAATCCAGAGAAATCAGGTGAAAGATGATGACGAATATAGACCGCAAAATAGATGATGAAAGACTCCGAATATCTGCATTTAAAAAAGTTGTGGGTATGTAATATACGAACGGCATGACAACCCCCCCCCCCCCCCCCCCCCCNGTAAAAATTGGCGATAGGAGCTGCGTTTCAAAATACCATAAGAGTTCTTATAGCCGACTGAAGAAGGCGATAGAAAATCATATAGTTGGCTGTAGAAAGTGGAAAAAATCATACGGCCGGGCTACACGAAGCGATAAAAAATTATACAGCCAGGCTATAGTTCCTATCGCCGGGCTTTACACTTTATCGCCTGGCTGTTGATTTTTTGCCATCGGCTATAAGGCTATAAGAAATTGTGTAGAAATTTGTGTGCTTTGTGAATCCTTAAGTTTGTACGGAATCACCTTAATATTTACAAGACGCACATTATTTTTTTCATCAATTAAAATGAGAATAATCCATACAGAGTGTGCAAACATTTCAAAGTCATGAGTTGAGAAACGCTGACTCCACGAGATTAAATGTTAGAGCCTTACACAAAGTGGAGCGGCGCGGCGGCGCACTGGCGCCTACAAACCTAACAGGGATACCTCACGCATTGCGCAATGCGTGAAGTATCCCTGTTAGGTTTGTAGGCGCCAATGCGCGTCCCGCGCTGGCTGCCCGCCCGCCGCGCCGCGCCGCGCCGCAGCGTACCACGGCTCTTGAAGTAGCTATTTCATACCAGAGGTATTACACAGTATCATACGAAATTGAAGGCGTTCCAACATATTAGGAATGGCAGGCATATCCTTCAAAAGTACGGAGCTTTCTTCGCAAAGTAAATTAAGATACTACGGCCCAAAAACAGAACGGTAGTCCACAAACTCACTAAGTCCCCCTGCTAAAAGTGTTACATGAAGAATGGCATGTAAATGGACGATTTCCATGAGATTTGGCATGTAAATAGCCAACTTCCATGAGATTTGGCATGGAAATCGGGGTGTAACGCATGGAAGGCGAGACGTTTCCATGAGGCTGGCATGGAAATCCTGACCACTTCCATCCAACTTGCATGTAAATAAAGTAATTGCCATGCAACGTGAAAACTATACTGCATGGAAAAGTATGGTTTACATGCAAGTTGGATGGAAATGTTCCAGTTTCCACGCCGATCGCATGAAACATAGCTGGTGCCTCCCAAGTGCATGGAAACATTGGGTCCGTCAGTGGTGCGCATATTATTTATTTCATTTCATTTAATGACCTATGCAGGGTTGCCACAGAATTTAGAAAATGAAATTCCCTGACATTTNATGGAAAAAATTTCCATCCGAATTTTCCATGAAACTGTATTTACATGCAAAATTTTACATGTAACACTTTTAGCAGGGCCTAGCATCCGTAATTAGTAACGTTCAGCATACACTTTATCGCCAGGCTGTTGCTTAATCGCCATCGGCTATAAAATGCTATAAGAAATTGTGATGCCGGCTACAGAAGCTATTGGAAATCTTACAGCCGGCTGTAGGTCTATGGTATTTTGGAACACAGATTCTACTACCAATTTTTACCAGGGCTTGCCTTGGGGTGGCAGTTACGTAAATCCGGTCATGCTTCTGAGAGACCAAAACTCTTGAAGTTCTAAGTGAGATGAAAAATATAGTTCTGCATCTAAAGTATTCTCAGCTTCTTTTACCGATTTTTCTCATTTCGATGATATATTTTGTTCTTTTATCCATGTTTATTTTTGCCCCTTTATGCTTTGGTTTCTTCTCTTCGGAATATGCCACCGTTGACTTTAGCGTCGAGTGTGGTAAATTAGAATTCTTTAGACATCCTCCCAGGTAGCTTGAGTTGCTTTGACCTAAGGTTTTGTGCACTTTTCAATTTTTTTTTTAAAACATGTTTTACGTACCGTAATTGGAAATTATGTAACACTGTGATCTACATAGTATTCTTCTCTAATCTCACCTACGGTGTTTTGGTACAAATCAGCATAGCTAGAATCAATCAAATGTTAATTACACTAAGTTTAAAAAACTTACTTGCTGTTAGGTACAAATAAAAAATTTTCGACCATCTACTCTGAAGGTAAAGATAATTGAACACGTAATAGGCATTACTCCAATCCAACTCCATCAAGTAACACCATCCCACTTCGTGAAGGCACAAAAGTTTCACTTCTCGTTGCGGAGAGCTGTCAATCGCTGCTTGGTATGCCAAAATTGCTTTTGATATATTTTTCTGTGAACAATTATAGAATAACTTTAAATTTTAATCGACCGTTTTACAGAGCCTTGATTATATAATGTTTCACTTTTGGGTATCCTAAGTAAAGGCGTTTTCTCGGTCGAAATTTTAAAGTATCCCTTGAAACTTCCGCAACTTGCCTTTTCAAATTGAAATGAAGGTCACGTACAGTAGGTGTAATAATTATGTACCATTAGTTTGCTTATGCACACAAGTGTTTTTCCAGATAAGCCAGAAATTCGACGGTGAAATTACCGGACCACGTATCTCGGCTTGCGACGTTGTAGTCTTTCTGTCATACCTACTTTATTTTTCAAATGGAAAACCACTCGACATCAATTCTTAAACACTCTGGTGTTTTATCCTTTCTTTGGGAAGAAAACTTTGCGACAATTTCAAGAAATTATACTGATTTGTTTTCCTCAAAGAAAGTAAAATGGGAGCGGAGATTTTTAAACACAGCAAACGAGATACGTGGTCTGGTAGTTTCACTTGTCGAATTGTAGCTCCGAATTGCAAAATATAATCCAAACGATCACGGCATCAGGTAAATCGCTGAGCAACGAGGGAGACTACGCGTTAAAGTCGTTTCACTTGCATGCTCCTATTTGGAATTATTTACAAAAATATGTAAATGAATAGAAGAAAATAAGCTGGGTTTTATGTAATGTTTTATCATTTGAAATGGCAATAATTCCGACAGACTGTACAAAAACTTCAAAATCATCATAAATTGAAAACCGCTGTCGCTGCAAGTTTGAATAATCGCGTCAAACACAGTGCGGGGCTGGCGCGCACACGGTGCAAAACGCATCGTAGCGCCTTACAAGACCGCAGGATACTTCATACATTGCGCGCACAGCACGGCGCGCCTTTCCTTTCATCAAAGAATTATCTATAATGTTCTCGCTTTTCTGCGCACTGCTACACTATCAATTGGGTTTTTAAATGATGCAACTATTCGGCCTCCGCGACCACTCTAGGAAGCATCTTTTCACAATGAAGGCGTTTGTCGCGTTTACTGTTCCCCCTTTGCCTGCCTCTATCACATTACCAACTTTTTTACGTTAATTGGACCACGTTTAACAGAAAGGAACCAAGCCACATCAGCTATTGCAAAATTTAATTGGGCAATTTAATTTCTGACGAGAGAAGGTTTGTGCGGATTCTCTTGAAACTTTGTAGGAATTCGCTTCGCACTATGGAGAAAATTCACCGAAATTTGCACAAAAATCCGCACAACCGTTTTCATGCATAGAATTAAATTGCCCAATTTTTGGCAATAGCTGATGTGGCTTGGTTCCTTTCTGTTTAACGCGGTCCAATTGGTATTTGCCGACTGTTACTGAAGAAAATATATTATTTTCCTGTCGGAGATCCGCGCTAAAAATTCGTGCGGTGCGCACCTTTTTCCTATTACCTACTTTTTGGCTTACCTTTAGTCTTTGAATCCTGCCTTTGAAAAAAAGGAACAAGGCAGCTCCTTTGAATTCCTCCTCCGCGTCTAGCAGTAAGGTCTCAGCTGCTTGGATATTTTGAGTGCTCACGTTACCGTCCAACTCAAATATCGGTTGAATGATGGTATAAAACCAGAGCAATGTCAATCTAGGAAAACAAATGATTCGCTTTGAAACAAATACGACCTTTTCATCTGAAAATTCCGGTCTAGTTTGAAAACTGTATCAGTCAAGTGTAGATTGCATAATGATTAGTATACCACGTGCGGAATATATTAGAAACGACTTAATGGCCGGATCAAAATAGAATCGCCTATCTTCATCTGATGTTGATTAATTTCCTCTCATATTTTATTTTTCAATGCAAAAGCAAGCAAAATTCTAACTTGAAAGTAAGTATAGGCACTCAACTTGAAGTAAATAATGCGACAAAAATGTACCCAAAGACGGTATGGTACGTGTAGATCCACAAGCGCAAAAAATCGAAATCTTGGCTGATCCAGTTCTCGAGATATCGCATTTTGAAATCTTCATAGTACATGCAAGTTTTCTTTTGTTTTTGATCCGTTTTTTTTTTTTATTTATTTGCCTATTAAATTGCGGTGTCGATTCATTCACGTTTTTATTTTTCGTTCGATTCATGTCTATCGAATATATACCGTGTCCTTGCATACAGACTTTCTATCTTACTATTTTTTTAAACTGAACAATTCGCCTTCTGCTGCGTCTGCAGCAATTGATGTTAGAAATAATTATGTTGTGCGTGCTGATTTCAGCCAATTACATACTCGACTCTCTGAAGGCGTTTTATGTGTGCAAGTAGCGCAACCTGTTGGAGAACGAACGAAGTAGGCATTGAGCAAGTCATTCAATCTCACTTCTGTTGTTCTCCAACAGGGTGCTCCACTTTTGCACACAAAACGCCTTCAGAGAGTCGCGTATGTAATCAGCTAAAATCAGCACGCACAACATACTCGTAACAACAATTGCTGCGGTTGCAGCTGAAGGCGATTGAAAACATCCGTATAATACACGCTGAAAATCAAATTAGCTCTTTAATTACCAATAGAGAGTTCTACTTTGTGGTCTCTTTATAGGGGATCGTCAAACAATGTTCACGATAAATAGTTAAATGCAAAATGAAATATGCCACGCTACAATTTTTTTTGTTTTGCTCCAAGACCACTGTATACTTCTATTATCGTATGGTTTTTTATAACCTATGGAAACTTCACGGACCCCCTCCCCTTCTATCGAAATCCAATTGGCAAAAGTATTTCGACTTTAAGTAGGTCGTTTCCTGGTCCTACTATGGTGTAGAGTAGTTTTATTTCATAGTAAACTAAATTGTCAGTGTCAAATATTGATTTCTACAAATTGATCTCACAACTGAATTCTGCTTACACCGCCAGAGGTGCTCGCATGTCATCACTGTTTTTAGAATACAAGAGTGCTTCTATTCCTTTCCTCCGATCGCTGCTGAAGCCAAGAAAATGTATCACTTTTAGGACGGACGCTGGTAGTAGAGACAAACATAACTGAAAAGTACCATATCCAAAACTTACGGCCGCCATCAGTCTCGAATATTCGTCTGAGTCGATTGACGGAACATGTCTGCACAAAAAATGTATCACGTATTACTCAAGTATTCTCCTTTTCATAAGTGCAAGAACATTTTACTTAACATAGATCCGTAAAGGCGCCTGATCTTAATCTCACAGAATATTATCATAATTTCTAAGTTAGCCTAAGACTTTGAAAGCCGAACAATTTTACAGTTCACAGTCTCCTCGATTACTTGGCCTTTTTATCTAAAAAAATTTAACTTGTTTCTTTGTGAGTAAATTTACGTCGGTTCGTCATTTTTGTATGGGAATTATGTTAGCACGTGCTTTATGCCACGTCTCTCTGTATAAGCCTCCTCGCTTTGCGCCGAGTGTATGTGAGTTTTCGAAGAGCTTTCTCGTTTTTTTTCTTCTAAATTAAATTACACTGCACTAAAACTTTAAAAAACGCTGTTGATAAATGTGCAGTGAAAAACATTGTGTCCTAGAAAAAATATTTTGGTTCGTACATCAACACCAATTCTCTTGGTTCAAGTAACCGAGGTTTTCGGTCGTAGAGATAGACCTCCACTTCAGGTAACAAAATAAGTTTTTGTCAGTCACATCAAGACTCGTATTCCTCACCGAAAAAATCTTAGTCATCCGAACTGAAGTTACGTTTCTACGACCGAAAACCTTATTTACTCGGACCACAAACTTTGGTGCTATAAATTAAATTTCAGTTCTTGTAATCGTGGCTCTTTCTCCCTCCCCAGTAGCATATTTTGACGAAAAAATCGAGATACTTTGAAATTAAGTTGCGATTTTTCACGGTTTTTTGACGATAACATTATTACGATCACCAACATCTTGGCGATTATCCTCGACCTTGGCGCAATTTTATCTCTATAAAATTGCGTTCGATAAAATCAAAATTTTATCTTAATTCATCACGATTATTGATCGATATTATTGCAATAAAATCGCGACTTTATCGCAAATTTATGCGTCATAATCGCAATTTTTCATCTGACAGTATTGCAATAAATCGACGACGGTGAAATCGCGATACATTCTTCGATCATATCGCAACTTATCTCAATCACTGCCACTTGGGCTGTATGGAGCATGCTTTTTTAGGCAGATTCACTAGTATTCAAGTTCATAGGATCTTACATGAGGCAGCTTAGATACCCAATCAACATTGGCGGATCCAGCAAATTGGCAGTATTGTCTTTTCTCCATTTAAACCTATGGAAATGTATCGATTCTCGTAGGGGCCAGGTGCTCTGACAAGAATCGATTATTTAGCATAGGTTTAAATGGAGGCAATCCGGTGTTGCCAAATTGCCGGATCCGCCCCTGCCACTCAAAGCATGAACTTTATAATAGATCGAACTTACGTTAGAGTTTCGGAGGTTAATGAAAATAAGCTATAGAATCGATTTTTAAAATTAGACGAGTATCCTTGGGCGGGGTCCACGCTCGTGCACGGTGTGCCCGCCTCGCTCCCTGAGAAGGAACAACTTTTTTTCCGACCTTGCGGATCTCCAAGTGTGGTTTGGACGGACTGGCTTCTGGAGATGCACATCTCTTCCCATGTCGAATCTGAAATACATTCCATTTTTAAGTCGCGGTCATACAAAAGATCAAGTTGGTTTGTAACTTTTTATACGAAGTCAGTAATGGAGAAGCTTTTAATCGCATTTTCAATCGATTTCGATTAAATGTACTTCACTTTGCAATTAGCAACTACGATTTCTGGCTCAACTATAGAAACGCGTATGTGAATAGAGAAACAAATGGTACATACGTTGTTTCTAAAGGGAGCCGGAGATTGTTGTTTCAAATTGCAAAATGAAGTCCGAATGTTCATTGCTTCGGACGATGAAACTGCCAGGCCGGTAGTTAATTTCTCAAAGCCCTAAAGAAAGCGAACATGGAGAATTTTCCTAACTTTTCCTGGAAAAAATGTTTTATCGGGAGAAACGAGACAACGTTGGAATGCTCATACGGCGTCGAAACACAGCATGGGCCTTTTAAGCCCGATTGTTCAATATATCGCGATTATCTTAACAACGCGCGTTCGAAAAATCGCGCCCAACACAATGCAGCCGGCAGCGTTAAACTGATATCAGCGCCTGCAAGACTGTAGGAATACTTCACGCATTGCGCCAAACAGTGCGGTTGCCGTGACACATATTAGCGCCTGCAAGACTGCCCGAATACTTCTTGCATTGCGCCAAGCGCAAAGCGAGATGCGAGAACCATTTGCGATAACTATTCGACTACGCTGCCGTGATAGCGAAGAGAGCAGGAAGTGTCAACTTTTCGGAATTGAGTTTCCTTCAAAATTCGACAAAATCGCGATACACTCTCCCATCAAATCGCAACTTATCACGATCACCACTGCTTGCGTTTTTAGTTGTGAAAAAAAGTAGGCATCTACATGTATATAGATTTTGTTTTGTTCTGATTGTAATAAAAGTCACATTCCTTTTGCGGCGATCTTAAGATTATATGAGTATCAAATGGACTGCATTTTGCAATTTGGAACTATACATTCTGGCTCTTCTGGAAAAACACTTATGTGCATAGAGAAACTAATGGCACATACGTTGTTTTTAAACCGGGCCAGAATTTATAGTTCCAAATTGCAAAATGCAGTCCAAATATAGCTCACGACTACTGCAAATGGCCTCAACAGTGTCCCACGGGTAGCCCATCCCCTAAAAGTAAACATCAAACTGGATTCCCTTATTCTATGCACTTACGATTTATTGATTGACAAGAGTTGACCTCGGAAATCTCACCTGTGAACCTAGTCGATAACGCTCCAGCGCTCTGGAGTTTGAATATCTGATTATAGCACGTTTGATATATTCTCCAAGCTTTGCGTAGCACCCAAATCCCTTTCATGAAGCTTGATATATCTTGCTGAAGGAAGTTGAGTAATGCTATGAAGACTTGAGCATCTGCCGATATTATCTGCTCCTCCAATTGTTTCAGCGCTGTAGAACTCTACAAAAATACACGAAATAGCTTGGATTAGATTTCATTCTTTTACTCTCGTATTTTTTTTTTTTTATTTAAGCATCCATGTACGCCTCGCGTATTCTAGTTTGTTTCAATTGCGTATTCACGCCTAAGAATGGTTTGTATTTAAAAAGTGCTATTGTCTTATAAGAATTCCTTTTAAATTTCCTAACTACGGCGTCGAGGTTTTTTTTTTAAAAAAAAAAAAAAATTTAAAAGGGGGAAAAAATTTGTGGAATGTCGGCCAACCCCTCCCCTCCTTCCCAACAAGGAGCTTAATCAACTCAATAGGAGTTATAGAGAATCAGAAACAGCCACATAGACTTGTCGGACTCATACTTAGCGTAATCAAGAGCTATCGCTATGATTATGATTCATAAAAAGCCTTAAAACCCCTAAATCCCTCGTAAAATTAACAAAATTAAGGAATATAAAATAATGTGACTCTGTATAAATTTATAAACTTCCTAAGAAAAAACCTATGTCTGAAGCTAATCTCGCACAGCTGCAGTTATTTCACTTATCAATGGTATCAACGTTTCTGACCCATGATCAGTGAAGTTTTGCATCGGTAGTAAAACCAAACATGTATAGGCATAGTCGTTCTAAAGTTTATGCCTAGTAATTTTAAGGAGAAAATGACTTCTAAACCAAGTACAAATATTTTGTTGAGGGAGATTGCTGTAACGGAATATTTTTACTTTAACATAAAGAAGGATCTTACATCAACGCCGAAAACTTTGCTCTTGATGCTCTCGAACCAGCTGTTGTCTTGAGAGCATTTGGACTCCAATTCTTGAAATGCACGTAAAGTATCTCTAAGTTTGTCATCCTCAAATGTCATTAACGCATTCTGGGGAAAAAATATTCGACTTTGTTACAACCATCGTATACTAACTTTCTCATTTTTATTCTTCTCGGAACTCTACTTACATTTCTATTATAGGTTGCCATTCGTATGAATGTGGAACGTCACGCACAAATTATGTAACACCTCAGGGATAGGTGATGTTGTTTGGAAAATCGATAGATAAAAAGTGTGAGGTTTTTCTAAGGTCATGTTTCTTTTATAACGAGATAATAAGAAAAAAACGAAGTGACAAAACGCAAAAGTCAACAACAATAACATGTATAAGGGTGCCTTACGTGGCTATACCGGCACGCGAGTCAATTACGAATGTCAAAGCGCCTTCATTGCTGTGCATAGGCAACATAGACAACCACTGAGCTGGAGTTGTCGCATTCAGGCGCTAACTTCGCATCCGTTCCAATTTTCATTTTCATAGCACGAGAGAAGAGAGATTCTTGGTCATAGAATCTTATTCTCCCACAGTTAAAATTAAGATAGCAATGGCGCTACCTACAACGTAAACTTTAATAGGGCGACCAGAAGCTAAACGCTTCAAGAAACAACTCTGCTACTCATTTTAGCAAATCATTTTACGACAAATATTTCAGAGCAATGAATCAGGTGTATAATGGAACATACGATTAAGGAGACAAAGCAGAATGCAGCTTCCATCTGAAGGGACTGAGCATGATTTTTAAAAAGGGATTGCGCCTCCTCAAATTTATTATTTAAGACTAATCGTATGCCTTCTCTTGCAAGATCCGATTCTTTTCCATAGCCTTCTCGACAACTTCTAAAGGCTTCGTCTGTTTCGGTTGAGGTTCCTTCATCCATGAGCCAAAAGTCTGGAACACAACACCGAGAGAAAATGGGAATGTGATATCATGTTAAAGCATTTGAAGGGGTTGGAGCCAGAGGGGCTAAAGTACATCACTACGTTACAGAGGTTCATCTAGCAAATTTTTTTTCGAGAATAGTTGCAATTTTTACTTAGAGGTTGTTGTAAATTTCCTCTGTGATTTGTCGAAAATTCCATAAAATGGTCCTCATAAAAAGCGTCTATTAATATTTCAGTATACCCAAGAGTCAAGAGGCTCCTAACTCCATTTTAGTCATTCCGAGATATCAGGGAAAATTCGTGAGTCGGCACCATTGATTCCAATGTAAATCGCAATTCTTGAAATTTCGTATATCATAACTAGCGGAAGATACGTAGGGTTACCAAATTTTTCACACACATGGAACCGTATTGGGGATTTTCAAAACGACACCAACTCAATTTCTAAAAAATGTGAGTTAGGTACCTTTTGGCTCTGGGGTACTAATATACAAAGAAGTATAAGTTTTCAGTGAAAATTTGAAATATTTCGCAATGCCATTAAGCTCCTCTGGTTTTTATCTCTTATTTTGACGTAGACTGAGACAAATTAGGCATTCAATTAAATGTCAACGCAGAACATCATCCATCGCATCTAAATTATCCTCTAAATTAACAAAGGAAGAGTTCAGCAAATTTCCGGAAATTTAAACGAGTTTTCGTTCCTTTAAAGAATAAAAGACGAGAGGACATTTGCAATTCCGCGTTTTGAAATACGCGCGTTCTCTCAGAGTTTCGCCATAGATACACTGATCGTGAAAAGTTAAAAAAGCCAAACTTACCGCACGTATGAGCTTTCACCGAAGGAGCAATGCGCTCCCCCTAACTAGATTGCGTCATTGTGAGTTTTGGCGTCGAGCACGTTGCGGCCACGGAAATTGTGGGGGCACACATACATAGCACGTTGCGAGCGGAAAAGCGGTAGCACTAGGATATCAAAACGATGAAAATCAAAACACCAAAACTAGCACGATTTTTTCTATTTGTTTATTTATATATATTTGTATTTTGTATCAATTTTTACTGTAATTTATTTTTTATTCGCAAAAATTGCACTGACTTACGACCGACACGCGATGGGAGTGCTTTACGTCCTCTATGGTGCCAACGTGTGAATGAAGTGAAAGAAGGAAAAATCATATAACTGGGACTTAAAGCCCGGGAAGTGCAGGGTGTGATCGATAAGATGACGTCATAGCGCCGTGAAATCGTTTCAATGGGGCGCATAGAGCACCCCGCCGACCAATCCTCCGGGACGGACGGATAGTTGTCAGACTGAGCCATTAGAAATCAAGTTTCACTTTGGTTTACTCATCGAACCAACGAGAATACTTGTTAAGTTTGGCAACTCAACCTAACTTGCCAAATGCTCCTGTGCTAAGGGAGAACGCCGCATGAGCTTTCAGACGTTGCTAAATTTCTTCTGCGCATTTTTTCAAAAAAAATAAAGTCATTTACATCCATCTTTAAAATCTTAAAATATAAAAATATATACCAGAATGAATGGCAGAGAATAGTCTAGGTATGGCATATTTTAAAAATTGGTCACTTTGTCCAGAGAATTCATATTTTATTTGGAGAAATTTTACAACAACTGAATGTTCATACGGCGTTTTTCCTTAGAATGATCCAGCACACGAGTTTGATTGAAAGTGTTTCATCGCTTGGTGGCCGTCCATAAATTACGTCAGGCACCCACGGGAGGAGGGGGGTGGGAGGCTAGGGAGGGAGGCTTGGTACATGTCTGATGAGAGAAAGCGGGGGCGTCAAGCTCAACCCCTAGTTGCCTGAGCCGTATCAAATTTGACCTGAGGCTTATGCTAAAAACACGTGCCCCGCAGGTCATATAAGATCGCTCTTCTGTGCTTTTTGAGTTTTAGATATCGGTCTAAAAATACGAGTACATCGTTTAAAAAGAATTGGACAATTGGACATCACATTGAGAAAGAAGAAAAATCGAGTGTCAGGAATTTTTTTTTGACAAGCACCCGTAGAAATCTCATCGGACTTTTTGCTCAAAAGGAGTCACGGTGCCAGCACATACGAGGTTTTGGATGTATGTCTACAAGTGCATCCAAAAAAAGATCAGACATCGAATTGAAAGGAAGAAAAAAATTGAGTGTTAACACAGCCGAAGATAGGAAAGAATTATTCGGGCCTTTTTTTAAACTTTTCTCCTAAATCTGAGTGACATTCCATTGACAGCGGGCCGATTATTGAAACTATGTCAGCACGACAAGACATGACCCTGTATAGTGCAATATGTATTGCTTTTCGATGTCTTATCGGGCTGCCTTAAACTTTCAATAATCGACCTGTAAAGCCAAGCATTGCGCAATCACGCCTCGCGCCATGGCGCCTTCAATTTAGCGGAAGCAACACGGACATCCATCAAGCACGAATAGTTGTATCTCTGCGCCATCATTAACGCGCGTGCGCGTCTTTTTCCTTGCTCTCTTTATTTAGTGTCGTCGGGTCTTTCTTTGTCTTATTTAGAGATTTGTGAGCAGCACAGCTGAAGATAAAAGAGACGTAATCGGGCCCCGTTTTTCTTTTTCTTTTTTTTTAACTCTCTGCCCGAATCCAAGCGACTTTTCATCGGCAGCATAGAGCAGAGTATTGCGAGCTCACGCACGCATCATGCCATCGTGCCTTCAATTTAGCTCACGCAACATGGACAATCCATCAAGCACGAATAGTTGTATCTCTGCGCTGTCATCAACCCGCGTTTAGGTGTCTCTTATTTTTGAAATTTAAGAAAATTTAAGGTTAAGCCCGCCGGAAATATGCTGCGATGTGTCCAAATCATAGACTACATGCAGAGTCCCTATAGTGCTGGTGCCCGTTGAAGTCACTTCTCGAGGCTGTTTTATCCAACACCTCTGTGACTTACGCGCGGCAATCGGCAAAATTTATTTCATAAAAACCGGGAGTTTCGCACGTTTTTGAATTCGCTATGACTTTAGTCGACAAAATTTGCCAAAATAACTATCGATTTAAATTAAAAAATCTCGAAGACCACTCGTAGCAATTTTTCCATAAGCCCCTATTTTAAAAAATGTCATTTGGCTCATACTCTGGGTTCATACTTTCGGAGAACAGGAGGCTAGGAATGTACCGTTCAAGGATTGACTTCAGCAGCGTCCCAGCACAAGCAACTCTATTGTACTCTATGGTCCAAATCAAAAATCGTTTTGAAAAAATTCTACTTAAAAATTGGTTAGAAAGCGTCAGTAACGTTGACAGTTGCCAGAGGGGTGAAAATTTAAAAAAAAAAAAAAAATCCTTACCCTCAAAAAATAGAAATGAAATAGTAGAGCATACTTCAAAAACTATAATCAACTTTAGTTTATTTAAATGCGAACAAATTTGATCTGAGTAGCCAAGGGTACTCTAGGGTTTTTATTACTTTTGCGAGGGGTGAGAATAGGGAGGGTGAAAACAATGGGGGGAGGTGGGAAGGTGGGACTGGAAGCTGAGCTTCCAGTCCCACCCCAACCCCCATTGTTTTCACCCTCCCTATTCTCACCCCTCGCAAAAGCAATAAAACCATTCACCTCAAAAAGCAATAAAAACCCTAGAGTACCCTTGGCTACTGACCCTAGGGGTGCTACTGACCCTAGGGTGAAAACAATGGGGGGAGGTGGGAAGGTGGGACTGGAAGCTGAGCTTCCAGTCCCACCCCACCCCCCATTGTTTTCACCCTCCCTATTCTCACCCCTCGCAAAAGCAATAAAACCATTCACCTCAAAAAGCAATAAAAACCCTAGAGTACCCTTGGCTACTGACCCGGTTTGGGACTTAGAGTATAAAAAATCTCCATTTGTTTTCTATTTTGTAACTGTTCGCGCAGAGGGGATCATGCACGGAGGAATAATTTGGGCCAGCGAATTTTAAACCATCACATTCTTGGGGAAAATTGGTGTCACTTGTCTCTGGCCATGATGGATCCGTATTTACCAAAAATACAACAGTGCAATAGCTTTATGCTCGTTTACTTTCGGCGTCGATTCGCCTTCAATTACCATTTTTACACCCCCTCGGCACTTCAGGAACAGGGGAGCCAAGGTTGGCATATATATGGCATTGGAAGAGTGGAGTCCATCACTGCGTGAGATAACGTAGAAGTCGACTTGAAGCATCGGTTTTTGGAAATTGCATAAATGAATTAAAAGAGATTATTTTCGAAGTATTACTTAATTTGTCTTACTTTTGCGTTACGAGTGTGCTATTAATGAATAGGCATGAAGCAACATGTAAAAAACAGCGGTTATTTACGTGATTTATACTCAGCCCCTCTCCCAAATGAACATCGTCGCCAACAACTTGATGCAATAACGCAGCAAGGCCGTCCGCGTGTCGCTATTACTTAGTATGAAGACAGCGCGCCTTCATTTCTCTGCCTATGCAGCGTGGACATCCGTGGAGTAATATTAGTGGTATCACGCAAGGCGTTGCTGTCAACGTTTTGTTCACACGTCCGCACGTAGTGAGTGACTCCCCAAAAACTGCTCTGTTTCTGTAATTTATGTGTTTAAGTCAATAATTTCCCCCTCAAGATTCGGAAAATATTTTTTTCCTGAGCTATCGTCAAAAAGAGGGAAAACAAGAAATACGAGGGGGAACCTAGAGCAAACCACACGATTTGGCCTGGCGAAAAAGCACGTCTCAACAGAACACTGGTAAAAAATTTTTAGGTGGGTTTTATGCGTTGAAATTTGACATATTGCATCATGAAAGGTTACTTAAGATTCCCTCGAAAATGAAGTCAATACTTTAAAACAAAACTACTCAATACTTTGCCTGCTATCGAGGCAAATACCGGCTGGTTTGCTGTGAGTCACCTCTCGCAAGTAAGGACCCCCTAAGAGCAACGAAGCGCGATTTTCTTCTCATTGATCAAGAGAACAAAATAAAAAAAATTCTTCCTGTTTTGATTTTTTTCTCGATAAAAAAATCAGACGAATGAATTTAGATTAGATTGCCAGTTTGAGTAAAATCTAGACTGAAGTTATCACTCTCTCGCAGGACATACGAAAATACCACAATGAGTTTTTGAGGTTTTAAAACCTGAGCCTAGCTTACTAGATTCTTCGAGCATACAAGAGACATGTTTTGATGTTTCCAATGGGTATGTAAGTTGTTGCCAAAATCCAAGGAGTATTAAAAACAATGATAATGAAATAGAGTTGAAATTTTTTAAAATAAAATTGTAACATTCTTGTAACTTCTCGTCACTAGACGCCAATTTTGCATATCAGACGAAAAATAGACGTTTCCAATGCGAAGACAAATGTTTACTAATTTTGACTTCATTGCAATAAAGTTCAATATGAGGAGCCCCTTCAATTAGTAGATATGCAACATAAACAACACTCCAGTTCATTAGCAACTGTTATTTTGAAATACCATGGAATTGCAATGTATTGCGCCTGCGCTACTTGGGCAATATTTAAAAACTTGAAAGTACTGTTGAATTGTCGGTGGCAAAAATATGTTCCTGTGACTTATATTTCATATATTTGAGAAAGTATCACTTTAAGTCAAAACTGCTACAAGAGCTATTTATTCTGCAACTTTCTCTTAGACAACATAAATTTATGGTTCTCCAAAAAGACAAAACTGCAACTTCAGTACGTACTTCAAAGGAATGTATTTAAATCTGTAGTGCTCTGGGCATAATACAATGAATTTTCAATGAACATTAATTATACTTTAACACCACTGATTTCAAAAATATAAAAATAAATGACCAAATTCATAAAAAAGGATTGCAATGATTATAACATTTTAAAAAATCTTGCTTACTATAGCTACAACAAAATAAATATAAACTTAATAAAAGGTATGACTAACAATAAAATTGCACAAAGCTAAAATTATCCTTTATGAGTACAGCATACAATATAACGTTGTACAGAGACAGAGAATTCATTATTTAAGTCGGCAATTGAATATTTGAGCCTTCAATGATGTACTTGTATGTCAATTAACTGTTAAAGATAGTATGTATGACAAAATGGAAACAGCAGTGGATGGAGGAATATGCTATCTTCTTCTTTTTCGAAAATAGACATTTTTTTTAAACTACTTCTCTACCATTAGCTACCTGATTGACTGAACACTGAATATTCCCCATCATGCTGCCCAAAGTAGAGTTTTTTTTAAAGGTTTTTGTTATTCCTCACTCTAAATGATTTCTGCATCCCTTGTGGATTGAGCAGCTTAGCCTTTGACGATAATCTTGCTTAGTGAGATTATCTATTAGAAATAAATGTAAGTTTCATCAAATGAAAAATAAGACGATTTTAAGACTGATTGTAAATTAGATCATAGATGTTAATGTTAATGTTAAGGTCTGACTGACACAGGATTGATCTGAATGAAGAAGCTTGGGTCTCGAGATATCATGATAGCTTGTAGGGCATTGCCGAGCAGTTGTTCTGAAACAACAGGTAACTTGATGGTATTAAAATTTAGCGGAGAAAAATGTGCAAAATTTGCTGTTTGCATTTTTATAGTGGTAGGGGATTTTCCTTTCATTTGGAAACTCTCTGTATCATTCAACAGTTGCAATATCTATCACCAAAGACTTCACAGCCTTACTTAATCCTACTGTAATAACTACTGCTATCTTAGGTTTCTATGACAAATATCACATTTTAAAGAGAATAAAATTTGAAACAACCAGTGAAACTAAAACTAAGGCTTGATGACTTGCAGCTAAGCCATGGCTAACGTCTGAAAATACGTATCTCTGATTGCAGCTTTGTCTGTCTCCATTCATGTTTTATTTCTTCACAAGAAAACTAATTGACAGTTTTTTTTAGAAAATTTCGATCAATTTTTTTTCTCTTTTAAAAACAGTATAGTTTTCTTTTAAAAAAGTAAAATGTTATTGGAGTTGTTTAAACAATGCAAGGGGATACGCATCTTCTGACTTCAGCCATGGTAATTCATCAACTTCTTCTTTGAGGCACCTATCACAATGTTTGCAAGGCAAAATTAAGTTCTTTGTAAATTGTGAATATCAGGGATTCATTTATCCTCTTTAATCCACTTTGATATCAGATCTGCCATGTCATGAGAAGATGATATGACAAAAGCATGCTTAATATTGGAGGGACACAGGATTGCATCTGCTTGAGGACACTTCTTCCTTAAGTTTTCATAGTAACTTACTGGACACCATCCATCAGTTGTGCCGAAATAAAACCTTAGCTTGGACAGGTTCTTTTCAATAGTCTGAAAAATAAATTGTTGAGTTTGAGAAATTTAATTTTGAGCAATGGACCACTAGATAAGGTACGAATTTCAGCATTCTGATACATGTTTCTTAACCAAAATTTTACGTAAAACACGATGCACACAACGAAAATTACCGAAATTAACTCCTTACAAAGATATTTAATGATTCTTAATGCGTGAATTCAAACCACTCGCTCATGAAAACACAATGCTCTATGTGATTCACATCGCGCGCTAAACGTTATCATGACAGTCTCTGCGATATAAAAATCTGGCAACCTTAATCTTGACGCTTTGGCTCAGTTATAGCAAATTGCTAATAGTTTGAACAACACATGATGGGAAATGAACATTGCTCGATTGAGAAGCTTGCTGAAACCGTTGTAGTGGGCGATTTGACTCACGCAGAGTTTTGAGTTTCTTATGAGCGGGCAGTTCAAATTCCTCGTAACCAATGTGAAATAAAAACGTTAATATCTTCGTTAGGAGTTGGTTTCAGTAATTTTCGTTGTGTGAATCGTTTTCCACGTGAAATTCTGGTTAAGAAACATGTATCAGATCGCTTAAATTCGTACCTTGTCTAGTGGTCCATTGATTTGAAATACAAAAAATTCATTAAATATACATCAATTTTCACCTCCAATGTCCTTAAAGAATTATTTTATAATGGTAGTCATGCATTATTAATTATATTACGGATGACTAGTATTGCCTCAGTAGATAGTACCTACAGTGCAGTAAAGATAGTTGTAATAAAGAAAAGAAAAGACTTATGAACCATTTCCTTCAGTGGCTGCAAAGGGTGAAGGGGGACGGCCTCTGGCCAACCCGCCTAAAATTTTCAAAAATTTGTTTTTTTAAAAAAAAGAAATTGTATCATGAAAACGATCAAAAATTGCGTCCTAGGGAATCGAATTTTCAAAATTTATCGGTGGGGAAACCCCTTCACCTCCCTTGATTATGAGCAAACCCATCAGAGCCATGCATCTCTTTTCCTCAAATTTTGCTCAGCAAAGTTTCACTCCTTTTACCGTCACTGATTTTCTTACCCTAAAAGTTATATAGTAACATAGAAATGTACTGCAAGGGGAATCTACGTAATTATCCCGGATGGATGTGTTTTAAGTATTGTGATTGTTTCTTTTCTCTCTTTTTTTCTCCAGCTGTTTTCTGTAAACTTTTTAAAACATAATCTCCGTATTCATGTGAATCAAAATTAAAATAAAACCATAGGTACCTCAGTGTCTAGGTCCTTAATTTTGCCCATTTCGTCATTAGCGAGGAAAAAGACATTCTTAACAACAACTGGATCGACTAGTTTGTCAGTAGCAGTGAGGCAACAGTCAGTGACTCCGCTTGGATGTGACAAATACATCACGCCATTTATTATCATATTCCTGAGTCTTCCTGGGAGCAATGTTGAAACCTGCAAATAAGGATTCAAATAATTTTATTGCATTAATGGACATTGCTTGTGCACCTTGAAAGATTTTTGTGTTAAGATCTTTTCAACTTTAAAATAGGCTTAAGATTGGACTAGGAGGATAGAGCATAAAAGGGATCACAGTTCAAAAAAAAATCCAGGAAATGCTTTGAAGGCTGAGGGAAAGTTAAAGTTGGATAACCCATTAAAATGGAAGGTTTAGAATAAAGGAAACCTCATGATGAGAATGATTCTTTGCCAACTACGGGGAGTAACAAAATTCAAGGTATGGATACAAATTGCCTGAGCGCTATCGGATATAAAGATAGCAGGTTACATTAAAGGGCTAGAGATTTTTGAAAAACTATATTTTGTAGTGGCATGTACCAAATTCTTCTCTTCTTATTCTCTGTTGCACTCTAATATTCTTTTATTGCTTAAGATTTTTATTTCCTACATTTTTTTTCAAAAATGCAGTATAAAATATTTAAAAATAGCTTTTCTTCTTTATAAGAGGCATACAAGCAGAACAAAAGGACGAAATGAATGAAACTTACCCATGCCCAGAACAAAATGAATCGATTGAGGTAAGTGAACATTGGAATAAAGAACTTCGCATTGGGAGCATTGGCTATGTGCTCAAGAGTTGGAAAAAGCATGTAACATTTTTTTATCCTTGAATTGATATGAGGATAGTTTTTCATGATGTCAGACATGATTTTGGCCCCCACTGAGTGCCCAATGAAATACAGGTCACATTTCTCTGGTGCATACTTTTCAATAAATTGAACTTTGTGAGTGACTTGACCGTCCAAATCATACAATTGTGGCTTGTCTTGAACCGTGGGGTATTTCAAGTGGAGAGCATTGGGAGGTAATTCATGACCTGACAAAAATGAAAAAGACAACAATTATTTGATCAGGTACATTGATAATTCATAAAAGTTGGATAAGTTCTTGCTTTGAAGAGCACTATCGGCTCACTCATCTTGGGAGACATCGAGGTAGCATTCAGCTTTCAAATGACTGAATGAGACAGACGTTCAAGAAATTTGCCAAGTACCAGAATGAGACAGAGAATCCATCATCTGATTTTGAGCAATTAATTTCAATGCAAAAATTGAAATGGCAAGTCTTTTGTTGAACTTTTTAACATGAGGAACCTAATGGGCATTTATTCTACAAAGTATAAATGAGCCCATTGTTGTTCTCAGAAAAAATTTGCTTTGAATAAGCATTTGAGCTCACCTAAACATTTTCATTCTTATTGATCAAGGGTATAAATCATTTGGGTGCATGAGACTTTCTAAATTGTGTAGCGATCTCATACTGGGAAAAACTATTTTTCAGAAATGCTTTTCCATCCTGCCCTTGTAAGATTTCATAAGGAGTTTCTTATCTACTTACTTAATCAGTAAACAAGAATACAATGAATGATCTTTGATGTATCAACAGAATCAACACTGAAGACACTGATTGAGTTGCCGATGAAATCTCTGTTTTAGGTATATCATTATTTTTACTTGACAATATATTATTTCATACAACTGAAATATGAAGTTTAACTTAAATTATAGGGGACTTGACTTCATTGCAAATTTTACCTGCATGAGAAATGATCCATACAGGAATTTTCAGTGTTGAATGAATTAGGGACAAGAAGTGGCTATAAAACTCCGTCACACCAGGATTTCCTGACACACAGATCAATAGTTCTTTGGAGTCCTTTATTGCAGGATCCTCTATCCAGCCGCCCCATGTTTCAACATGAGTTGGCATCTCGTTCACAACAACCCATCCTTCTTGATATGTCATATTTGATGCGTAACTGAAAAAGTAAAGAAAAAATTTAAGCACATGATAAACGATGGAACCTTGAGATAGTCATTGGAGTAAGAGCTCCAAGAGCTCTAGTGAAACTCCTTCATCTCAAGGAAGATATACCTAAGACTTGAAATCTTTCAAAACGACCATTCAAATCTTGCCCACTTCATTTCGGTCAGACTCAATGAAAAATTGCAGCTTTTTTGCAAAGTTTTTCATCTCTCAGAGCCTAGATACACATGGCGATTAATCGCCGCGATTGAAAGACGGAAGCCAATGGAGAGCCTTGATTTCGATCCATTGACGTCGATATATCAAAATCAAGGCTCTCCATTGGCTTTCGTCTTTCAATTGCGGCGATTAATTGCCATGTGTATCTAGGCCTTCAGGTTGAAGCATTAAAAAGGCATTTGAAAATCTCTGGAAGAGTTCCATCTCAAAGCAAAACTTGGATTTAATTAGGATAATTTTATCTAGGAATTGATGAAATAGATACAAATATAAACACACCAGCCCGTGACAAAGGTGATATGAATAAAAAGGGAGAAAAAACAGGAAACCGGTCTAAATGTACAATAACGCAACGACATTTCAGCTCATATCTGAGTCATTTTCAGTTGGAAAATTATTATTATAAATTAAATAAATTTTGAGAAAGAAAAAACCTGTGACCTACATCATGGTGGCTGAGATTTGAGAAAAACAAACAAAATGAAGAACTGATAACAGAGACATCCATGCCGGCACCGTTGACAAACAACAACCAACAACGAAAGTTTGAAATTGATGAACCTCTGTTCGAAGAATATGACATGATGACGAATGCAGTAACATTACATGTACTTTAGCCACGACGGCAATTAAACCAAGAGAGCCTACTTTATTTCACTCTTTACACGGAATGGTGGTTGAACTTAGATTAGGAGCAGCAGTAAAAGGAGAGTGCAAACAAAAAATTTAGAGCAGTATAAGATTCCACTCGGACGACAAGACCATCGTCCTAGCATTCATAATTTACTTCAGTTAAGAACAGCATATTCAATAGAACTAGTCTTTCATAGCTTACTATGCTTAAGGATGTTAAGCTTGATTTGGAGTACTGATAAAAAAAGAGATTGAACTCAGTGCAGCGGAACCAAACGGAAAGAGGCTTGTGTGGTGATTATAATATGCAAGCGTGATAAATGATTGAGATATGTAAGTGGAAGAATTTACATAATGTATACACACCTTTTCAAAAACAACCTGTTTAATTGAACTCAGAGCTAGGGGTATTTGACGATTTGTCCTGATTTTGACCACTATCAGTAAATCTGCAACTTTTTAACCTCTCTTCTCTTTGTTTTGTAAACATTACGAAATTCGCGAAATTCCCACAAGCTGTACGGCTATACAAACAAAAAAACTCAGAATACGCACGCAAATAAAGTTTCAAGCTTAGCTGAAAGGGTTTTGAATATCTTGCTTAGAAATCCTCTCACTTGACATTTGTTTTCAATTTATAAGTTTTATCTAATTTTTACAGAGTTTTCTTCTAAAAAGTGTTGACAGCATTGCAGCATTGAAACAAATGAAGAATTTACAGTTGGCAGTCCCGTAAAGTCTTAGGACAAAGCTTAAGGCGCGCATTTCAAATTAACGCACCTGCAAATACGCCCATTTCTTTTGCGGTGTGTTAAAATTTCCGTTCAAATTTATTTTTAACTAAGGAAAACGGACCGACGCTAAAGCTTGAGATTTTCACAGCATATTCTTCGCATAAAGAAGAAAAAATAGGGAAGTCCTCATGAAATGACGTCGACAGTTTTCCCATTTAAAAAATAAATTTTGACAGAAAATAAGCAGAAAGTCAAGATAAGTACAATATTTTGCAGATTCACCGTTGATTAAGTACGTAAAAATTTGAGAATAAAACTGTAAAACGCTGGCCGGTACGCACTGGAAAAATTTACTTGCTCTTTCTTGGGAGGTCTGGTCCGGACGGGAGAGCGGGGATCCCCAACCAAAACTTAAGTACAGACCTTTTTGCAGCCCACGCGAGGGTTAAATAGAAAAAAACCCTCAGAGGGAGAAAAGAATCCGGAAGACGTCATAATGTGTGGTATTGGATCCTCAAAGGTAATCTAGGCGCCCCAGTTTTGGATTGCAAGGGGCTTCGAAATCCGGAAAAACGTCCAGCTTCCCGATTCAACTTTGAAGGAGGCCCTAATGACAATTATTCGAACTCGGAGTAAGTATGTGGTATTGCGGGTACTAAGCGAAATTAAAGGCAAATCATAGCTTTTTTCACGCCTCAAGTTACTTTCGTTTATGAATATATTGCTCGCATCAATATGAAAATCGCGCATTGTCCGCGATTTTAAGGTGAAAATTTTGTAATTTTTTGTGATTATAGGTAATGTATTGCTGGAAAATTTGGGTAAATGCCGCGATTTTGAGGCGAGTTACGCAAAATTCTCAATGATATTATAAAACGTTAGAAAAATCGAGTATTTTCCGCAATATTGCAATGATCATCGCGGACAATTTTTTTTTTTTTTTTTTTTTTTTTTTAAATAGCCCATTCCTCACGATATCGGGATTAAAAGCGTGTAACTTTTTAGGATTTAACGAATGCGTGCTTCTCGCGATACTGAGATAAAATTCGCGTAATTTCTCACTCTTTACAGGCAGAAATCAGACGAGCAACTATTCGAACTCCCGAGTAGGAATGTGGTATCACATGAAATTGAAGGCAAATCCTAGTTTTTGCCTTTCTAAAGTTACTGTCGTTTGTGGATATAATTCTCGCATCCGTTTAAAAATCGCGTATTTTCTGCGTTATTAAGTTGAAAATTTTGTGATCTACTTCCGTGATCTCAATCAACCGCTGGAAAATTTGCGTAAATGCCGCAGATTTGAGATGAGTTATGCGGAATATCCCAAGATTTTACAAAATCACCGGAAAAATCGCGTATTTGTCGCGATATTGAATTAATAATATTGTGATCTTTTGTGTTTGTAATCAACCGTCGCAAAATTTGGATACTGAGATGAATAACCCGTAATTTTTAATGATTCTACAAAACCATTGAAACAATCACGTATTCCTCGCGATATTGCAATGATTGTCGCGGTTTTCTTTTCTTTTTTTCCCTACAAAATCGCGCATTCCTAACGATACCGAGATAAAAAGCGCTCAACTTCTTAGAATTTGACGGGAAATATTGCGTACTTCTCGCGATATTGGAATGAAAGTCGCGTAATTTCTCACCTCTTACACAGGGCCGTATTTACCTTCTTGCCGCCCATTGGCCGCCTGCATTTCGCCGCCCCTTTCTCATTCGTTTTGAAGCATCAATAAAAACCATCAAGTGAACGTGCCGGAGGGAGAGGGGTGCATAAGACGCGTTCACTCGTGTTGGAAACATTTTGGCGAAAATCCTGTCAACACTATACTGGCAAAAGTTCTCGGAACTTTGCACGAAAGTTCAGTTCCATAAACCTATCTCCGTGTGGACAAGGCCTTTCATTTGTAAGAAATGACCGAAAAATTATGAAAGAACAAACATAAATGTGGTTTGATAATTTTAACTTCTGCCGCCGCGACGCACTGGCCGCACTGTGTTTGGCGCAATGCGTGAAGTATTCCTACAGTCTTGTAGGAGCTGTGCGTTTCACGCAGACAGCTGCTGACCGCACTGTGTTTGGCGCAATGCGTGAAGTATTCATGTACTCTTGTAGGCGCTAATATGTGTTACATGCCGACCGCCGCGCCACGCCGCGCCGAGGGCTTCTCCTTTTCATCTCAAGTCCTCGTTATCATTGCTCCTTGCGCAGTGGCGTAACGGGCGCCCCCGCAGACCCTACTATGCAGGGGGGCCCAAGCGCCTAGGGGGCCCTCGGCCGCCGAAATTTTGTTTTTCTCTATCTCTTTAATGCTTAGCTTTGGTTTCAAACTTTGGGCCTTTACCTACCGAGATGGGGCTTCTTCCGCTGATTTTTATCGTTAGCTCAGGGTTTTTCATACTTTTTTTTAGACTGTTCCTAACTTTTTTTTGCTGAAGGGCCCCTGCCTTCCAATGTCCACTCAGTGATTACTAAAATTTTTCTCTTTTTTGTCACTTTTCGTAGGTATTTCAGGCTTTGGGTGACCCATGAATCCAAAGGGCCCACAAGGCCCTTGGAGGCCCTTCGATTCTTGGGCCTGCATGGGCCCTTTTGTAGATCCTTGGGCCTGGGCTGGGCCCCCGCCACCCTTTAGGTCCTTGATCCTTTAGGGGCCCCATTTAATCGGGTACGGGATCCGGGACAGTGAGGGGAGAGGCATTCCAAGTCCAAGTCCGTGATTTGAAATTTCTCGGGCCAAAAAACGGGAAGGGGTAAGGGAAGTAGAGGGGCGGGAGGGGGGAATTTTATCGACATGGGGGGGGCCCTAGAAAAAATTTTGCAGGGGGGCCCAGCGGAAGTCCGTTACGCCACTGTCCTTGCGCCGCGCCGGTCCAAGCCAAATTGCGTGTTTAGTTTCTCTTTTAACTCGACAAATCAAAGGTGCGCTGTCTCTTGTATCACCGAAAGACGACAAAATTAGAAATTATTAAACTCTTAGGAAATGAGAGATTTTGTCACCTTTTCTCGTTTGTAATTTTTTTTCTGAATCCGATTTTTTTTACACCTTAATTTTAAAAAATTGCAAACTTTGCCGCCCCCTAAATTTGCCGCCATTGGCTGCAGCCCATGTGGCCACCCCCTAAATCCGGCCCTGCTCTTACATGCGAAAATCAAGTAAGCAACTATTCGAACTCCGGAGTCGGTGTGTATGGTATCACGCAAAATTGAAGGAAAATCTTAGCTCCTCGCCTACCTCCACGGGGGTGGTTAAAGTTGGATTTTTGTGTCGTGAAATCTACATTGAAACATTTCAGTCATTTTTTTAGCAATTGAATCGTTAAATCAGCGATTAAATTTTTTCCGTGACGAGGATCCAAAATGGCAGAGCGCTTTCAATTCTTCGTCATACTCAAAGATATCTCCTGGGCGCGAATAAAAGTTACATACCTGCGCAGGATGTGAGTATCTTTCGTGCTCCAGTTTAGTTATCGCCTTGCGCTGAGCATGATTTGTAGAGCAACTATTTATGTCTAAGAGCATGTCCTCGAAGCATACGTGAAAAATTGAAGTCGCACAGTTTAGATCCTCGAAGTAAAGCCCGCCACGAACCCGGAACGAACCTTTCACAGAGGGTTGAACATGAAGTTTCCTACTAAAATTACAAATTTTGATGTTAATTTCTTCACAGCATAAATTTTATGGGGTGCCTCTTGGATGAAATTTTACAATCAACGACACTACGTTTAAAACCTCCTATGACTCCTGTATCCTGTATGACCCCTCTCACTGACCCTTTCCACTGAGCAAAGCGCTGATCAGTGAGGCGATTAGTGTTTATGAAACGCCTTCACTTCCATGCGTATGCAACACGGACATCCATGGAGCTCGAATAGTTGCATCCAGGCGTTATGATGAAATTCGCTATGTATCCGTCGCATGCGACACTAACTGGAGCTTCGATTGTTGCTCTAACGCCTTAACATAATTTTAGCGTTACCTATTGCGCCGATGAAGCAAACCATTATTAATTTGTATCGCGAAAACATTAATATTCTGATAAGTATATCATTTAAATGCTCAAAGTTGCCCGCCCCTCGAGATTGAAAAAATAAGGTATAAGAGCATGATTTGTATAGAATTTCCTTTAACCCGCTGAGGCGGCTAATGTCTGCAATCAAAACGCCTTCACCTCCGTGCGTATGCAAGACGGTCATCCATGGAGCCCGAAAAGTTGCAATCAGACGTTAAAATGAAATTCGTCCAGTATCCGTCTCCGTCGCATGCGACAAAACTTTTACTTAATTCCAGCGTTCATCACTGTGCCGATGATCGAATCATTCCTGATTATTTTTATCCCGAAATTTTCAATTTTCCGAGAAATGCGGTATTTAAATGTGTTACAATAATCCCGGCCCTCGGAATCGAAAAAATTAGGCTATTTGAGCAAGT